CAGAGGCAAAAATCCAAATTTCATGTTGATGTTTGGTTCGAATAATCCATATAATTGATTTGAGTCAAAATTTAAAAACCTTGTTTTAAGCTTTCTAACTTATGATTTAAAAAACTCTCGACACCATGACTTTGGTCAAATTAGTCAAGCTAAAAAAACATTGGCATGGATCCAAAGTGAATATGTTTAATGAGAGGGTAATTCATGGAGAGTTACTCTGTCTCTCATGAATCTTTTGTGAGTGTTTTGAAGTTGGTGGATATATTCTATCCCACTAGGCCTATCTCTTTTTAGAATGCTTTGAAGTAGTGGTTTCTTTGATGGATTAGATGTATTCTTTCATGTTTTACTGTTGTGTTTGTACCCAACAGTGTGTATTCAATGAATAATTAAACTTTGTTGTCCATATCTTGTAATGTGTATTTTAGTTCTTGCTACTTACCATTGTTTTTACTTGTTTAAGTGATGTTTCTTCAGCCTATAGTTCGTTTCTCTAGGATATAGTCTATCTTTTAAGATCATGCTCGAAGATATATTAGACGTCTTTGGGTACCATGCCCAACCTAGGGTCGATTTGGATACGTATGTGTTATCATTGTGGGGCTTTAGTTTCTTTAGTCATACACTGATGACATCAGTGACATTACTCATGAGTCCTTATGATTAGGGGTTTTATCACTTTTAGTCCTATGCCAATGGCATTTGTGACATCACTCATGATTCTTTATGATTAGGGCTTTGATCGCTTTAATCATACGTCAATGGTGTTTGTAACAACATGCCCGACTCATCATAACTCCTACTTCCATCTGGAATGATTACCCGCACATACCCGATCGAGATGGCATGTCTTACCTGCAGGGGGCTAGATAACCATGTCTCTCAACTGCCTATTTTAGCTTGCCGAGATGGCATGTCTTACCTGCAGGAAGTCGCATTAATCTCTATAGCTTTGCGTCTTCCTTCCTTTTGATATTTCTAAAATACTTTATATATATCCTGTTCTCCCTAGATAGTTTGACAGTTATCTACACTGATTCATCATGTATGTTATGGTATTTCAACTTGATATTGACTAGGGACGCAATTGCATCTACGATCGTTGTAAATGGTCTGCCTAGATGCAATTTTGGACGCTTTTACAAGGGACTACCAGAAATTGAGAGTCAATCATCCTAGTAATTTGTCCTCTCCCTAGGTCATAATTAGTTTAATGTACACCCAAGGACTAGTTACTTTATCGTTGAAGACTTGTAGTTCTGATCCTTTGTAGGGTCATAATTTCTCTTTCTTTAACCCTATCTTCTAAAAATGTTTGAGTACATGATATCACAAGAGTTTCCACCATCAAAGAGCACTCAGTAAACGTCGAAATTTACAATTGTGGCTATTATCACTCGAGGGAAGATCTATTTTGGGATCCCCCTATTTTTCACTATTAGAGAATCGAGGATTGGCTTCCACGACGCCTCAGTTGAAGTGTTTCCCTCCTTCTTATTTACGTCCATTAGCTCCAAAATATTCCTCTTTGTCATCCATTTCAAGGGATTCCTCTCTCTTGGGGCACCACCAATGAAGGAAGCGATGAAATAATGCTTCCCTTTATGGACTTCTTATTAATTATTGGTATCCTTCCCTCTTTTATTCTGATAACAGTTTCGATGGTCTTCTTGGAGGATTTCAACTTACATGGGGAGCACTTCTTCTTCGGTAAAACTTCTTAGCTTCTTGAAACTCTTTTAATATCTCAGGTGTATTCAGTCATCCACCCCTTCTTGATCAGTTATTCTATTGCATCTTTTAGCTGGATGTAGTCATTCGAATTATGGTCATGACTTTTATGGAAACAATAATACTAAGATTTGTCTGTTTGGAACGACTCCCTAATCGGGTAAGGATTTTGGACCATGATCTCCTTAAACTTCAAATTTTACAATCCTTCCAAATTTTCTCCCTTAAAGTATTTAGGGGAGTGTAAGTGTTAAATATGGACCGATGGCCACATTCTCTTTTTTATCTATGAAGGTCAACGTCTCTTTATGGTGCCTAGTTGGATCCAAAATTCCCCATTTGTCAGTCTCCTTCCTCGGCCATGAGTTTTTATTCATAATTGATGTAAGGTTGTGCCTTACTAAATAAATATTTTAATCTATGGGCTTCGTCGAGCCCTAGATTCTCTCTGAACATGAAGCCCCGCCTCAACCCCCTTTTATACATACAACATTTCAATCTGCCATATGTGCCTCAAAGCAAAGAATTTACTTGCGTAAGGTCACCTTCTTTTGGGTGATCCCACTGAGTAAGACCATTGTCATGAGTTTCTGCTTCCGGGAAGTGAAATGGGAGGTTAAAGCTTCACATAGATATTTCTAAGAATATATGCTTCTGTTTGGGAGGGCCTTGAACCAGTTCATTATAACTTTTGTTAGAGTTAGTGCAAAGAGTTTTCACTTTACTTCTCCCTATGTATGATAATAATTTAATTGGTTGTCCATGTGCTGGATGTGCTCATCTTGGTCCCTAAACCCATGATAAATTTGAGAATATAGAGGATTCTATAGCAACCTTGAGATCCTACCAACAAGGATGAGAATAGACATAGAGTTTCTTTTTACTCAGGGATCAAAAAGTCTTTTTATACCTCTTCCTCCTTCGATGATGATAAAACCCTAGTGGATTATGACTAAAGTTTCCCCCTTCATGTTAGTGGGGAGGAGTTATATGTATTTAATGACAACGGTGACTCAGTGACCTTGAAATTTCGCCTCATGGTGTTTCTTCTCTAACAGAGGTCGGCTCAAGCATGTCAGTTTGATTTCTTTGAGAGGTCGCCTCCCGCATAGTGTTACTCTTTGTATTAACATGTTGTAGGCTTTCTTAAATTATAAATAGTCTTTCTTCCAGTAGTTGTGTATTCTGTTGCTACACCAAATTGTAAGCACTATTCAACATATCAATAGCTCTTTACACACTAGATCGAGTGGCTTTGGATGTTGTTGAATATTGGATCGGGTGGATTTGGATGCCACTATGGTTAATGAATATGAAGAAGGATATGTTGGAAAAAGTAGTTGAGGTTTCAAGGAAGAAGATCGAGAATGGAGATACAGTCTTATATGAGAGGAAATATGGATCTCTAGATATAAGTAGATCTAAACATGGAAATATATGTGAATTAGATTTCAATTCCCACAGATGAAGTCATTGTTTCACAGTGGAACCAAAATTTTACGAGGAATGATGAAGTTATGCTTACTGCAGTGGGCTTGAGATTTTGATACAAGGGAGAGGGTTTGGCGTGAAATGTTCTCACTCTAACGCTCAAGTCAGTGAAATAATGAAAAGTGATGTGAGAATGGGAATGAATTTGAATACTTGATAATGACACACATTTTATCTTAAATAATGGGAACATTTTGAAACAAAATTCATGGAGTGATACGTGGATAACGATCGATTCCCTACCAATCAGGATGGCTAGAAGTCACTCTCGAAGGCATAATTACCTACTTCAGGAAAAATGAAGGACTACACAATCTTTGCTCTTGCTCTCATCACTTTACCATTGAGTTTTTCATCTTTGAGCCATACGAGAGACCTAGAATACCTCCTATATAAGGAGTAGTAAAACTTCAAATCAAAGTACACGCGTATTTTATATAGAATACCTCTTGCATGTGATAAGTACTTACATAAGCATCATAGCGTTTATCTGTACCACCTCCACCAAAATGACAAACTATGAGCAACAATACTTTTAAAGAGTCTATTTTTGACAAATTTTACAATCACATAAACGACTTCTTTTCTAAAAGATCAATTGGTATTGAGATTTTAGTTCCATCCACATTTATATAAAAAAAAAAAGGTGTTTGATTAACTCGTAAGCAAGACTATATAAAATAAATACACACTAGTACAAAAGGGTTAATTTTCATCCATTTTTTTATTAAATTTACACCCATTTAAATTTAATAAAAAACAACTGTATATTCATCGGGTAAGAAATGTCTAACGAATTTACACCCGTTTAAAAACGGGTGTAAATACATGCTATGTTATCACTTTTTTTAATAGAAAACGGGTGTAAATATATGTTATGTTACACCCTTCTTTAATAGAAAATGGGTGTAAATACATTCTACGTTACATCCTATTTTAATAAAAATCAAGTGTAAATATGTTCTTAGTTACACCCTATTTTAATAAAAATCGAGTGTAAATACGTTCTTAGTTACACTCTATTTTAATAAAAATCGGGTGTAAATACGTTCTTAATTACACCATATTTTAATAAAAATCGGATGTAAATACGTTCTTAGTTACACCTTATTTTAATAAAATTATGTGTAAATACATGCTAATTTATAGCATATTTTAATAAAAATCAGGTGTAAATACATGCTAATTTACACCCTTTTTAAATATAATTTCCACCATTTATGACTAAATAAATTATATTATATTTAATTTCATTTACACCATATTTTATATGTTACATTACACCATATTTTAGTTATCACATTTCTTTATATTTCATGTATTAAAAAATCATATTATTTCAAATACTATAAAGTCATACACATAAAAATCATATTTCATGTACTAAGTCCTAATATTTTTCATATTTATCAAAAAGTATACAAAATCATATTTTTCTACTAAGAAGTCATAATATTAACAACAAAATATTCAATCAACTCATAATATTTCATGTCACTTTTTTCATATATAAGTTTTCTTCTTTTTCTTTCACTTTTGTTTTGGCAACATTTCTATGTCCTTATCCTCTTCAACCATTTGTATTTGGTCGTGTAGATTTTGCTCCTCAACCTTTTGATTTTCAACCATTTAAAAAAAACTTTGAGTCCAAAGTTGCCGAATATATTCATAAACTTTATAAGATAGTTTATAAAAACATCATACAGTTTATCTAAAAAACAGCTTATACATAAGTACTTATTTGATAAATATTTGTTATAAGCACTTAGTTGAGATGTTTATCCAATCAAAATGTAAATTATGCATAAGATTACAAACTTATTGATAATAGAGTGAATAATACTCATGAGACCTTCGGCAATACCAAATTTGTCATGAATAACCTGAATATATTTCAACAGAAACATCAAATGAGATTTTAAATTTTATTCTACATGAAAAAAAAGTGCTTCTAGATTTAAGCAATTAAAACAAGAAGTATCACCTTTGCAAGGGGAGAAAGATAGTTGGTTGTGCAGCTAGCATTAGAAACAATATCAACATCTGACTTACACTTTATTTCATTCATACCAACTACATACATCGGTGTGTACGCGCTAGGAGAAGAAATAGTACCTTCTTTGCGTCACCCTAGTCTCAAAGGAAATAACCGCAATTTAGGAGGAAATAAAGAAGGGCCTGAATTGTAAACTATACCATTGTTGTCAATCTCAAATTGTAGAAAATAGTGATTTGTTTGTTTTATGCTACAATGAAAGACTAATGCGTTACAATAGATATATTGATTTGTTTGAGTTTTCTTATGCTATAACAAAAAACCTTCAAATGAGCAGAAGACTTGGCTTTATCGGTGAAGATTCGGGTAGACTCGACAACATATTTAGCTCCATCCTCGCCCCATGGAATTTCTTCTTGGGAGGAACTGGTCATACATAGTGAGAAGTCTCATTCTATAGAAAGGCTCAGTTGGATAAACAAGAGCAGAGGTCAAAGCTGCTTCATGGCATAGGCTAAGGCTCCAAGGTCAGGTGTGTCAGGATGTGAAAGCAAAATAAGAAACCAAGACCAATAAAAAGAGACTTCATGATAATCAATACATGCCAGAAACAGTTGTTGGGAAATCCAACTTAATAGGGGCCACGCTTACAGTCTATTATTGAACCACATGACGCTTTCATTGTTGTGATGGATTACCTCTTGCATTTAGTCTCACATCGCTTAGAGATATTGCAATTTATGGCTTATAAAGCTTAGACAGTTCGCGCCTTACAAACTAATTTTGCGGGATAAATTTAAACTATGTTTGGACGGGCGATATAAGCGGAGAAATATAAAATAGTTTAATGCTTAACTTCATTTTTAAAACTTTAACTACACTATTTCACTTAACTCCGCCGACCCAAACATACCCTTGTCTTAGCCAAAATTCTACGAGTAATTTTACAAAGCAAAAGATACCAATTCTAAGAGTAATTTTTTATTTATGTATTTAGATATTTGTCAAATGTTGTCACCTGGAATTTGTCAAATGTTGTCACCTGGGATAATAGTGTTTCTTTACAACCATTCACCAGTGAGCAATGGAGATCACACCAAGACAACAACATTGAGAGGGTAAGCTAATACAATCCAAGTATAGCATAAAATTATATAACCTGCATAGTAAAATTTAGTAAAAGTACAACAGAAAAAAGAAAACATTAGAGTTTTGACATCATTAACCTGCAGGGGTGGATTTGGAATGAGAACTTATCATTGATTATTAGTCCTCGAAGAAGACTTTCTCATACTATATTTATTATTATCATTATTATATAATGACATGTGCTTAACTATATTTACTTTGAGTTACTTTACTATACAGGACTGTCATTCACTACAAGAAAACATGAAATTAGTCAGGTGACTATGCCAGATGTTAATTATCTGGCAAAAAACATACTTGCGAGGTGTTATTCACTTCACAACACTTTTTTTTTTTAAATTATAAGTTTTTCCATCTCGCAACTGACGGAGTGAAATTTAAATTTTTTGAAAAGAAAGTTGCAAAGTGAAAAACACCCCGCAACTGCTTTTAAATTTTATTAGGGGAAATCCATTTGTACAATTATTGAAGCGTCAGTGGTGACAGGCCAACTTTATTGTCACAGACTTTGCGAGGGGTTTAAGCCACGTCGCAAGGCTTTTATGAAAAAAGTGGGTGGAAAGTACTGATTGTAATTACTGATTAAACAAAGGCGAAGGTGAACATTTTGTGCATTAGTGACATGATTGGTTGCAGGGTTTTATTCACCTTGCAAGTTTCAATGGTAATAAATTTTACAGGGTTTTATTCACCTCACAAGTTTCCTTTATATATGACCAACACGCTTTCCTTTTTCTCCATTCCAGAACTATCTCCATTCTTCTTTCTTCATTTCAGCTTCTCCCAACCCTTTTCCAACCCCTCTATATCTCTCAAATCACTCAATTTTAACACCAAATCAAAACTTCAAATACTCAAATTTCTTGTTGGATTCAGATTTGTTTTCCATATTTTCATCAAATCCTTTTATAAAGGTACACACATATTTATAAATTATTTGTTATTTTAAACATATGAATAAATTGATTGGATGAGCTGGTTAGATTTGTATGGTTGGTTAAATTGATTTGTATGATAGAAATAATGATGGTTAGATCTGTGTAGAATATTTTAGAAATTTTTTAATAAAATTTGTATGATTTTAGTGTATAAATATGTTGAAATGATAGAATATATGTTTACAGTTTATTATTTTTCGTTTTTTCATAAATAAATAAATATGTTGTATGACTTTTTTGTATTTTCATAAATAAATAAATAATATTATAGATTTAGTTTATTAATTTTGTAAAACAGATTTATAATATATTGTTTAAAATTAAAAAAAAAATTTAATATGTATTATTATTAAAACCGAAATAAATATAAATATGTATAATATATTTTTAAAACTGAATGTTATATTTTTAAAAGCAAAATACTATTACTTTTTTAAAACACAGTAAAATATTATTTTTTAAAAATAGAATATTATTATTATTATTATATTTATAAAAAAAAATAATATATTTTTTAAAACAGAATATTAAGATTTTAAAAAAAACAGAATATTATTTTTTTTTAAAAAGATTATTATTGTTATTTTAAAATAGAATATTATTAATATTTGTAAAAACATAATATCTTTTTATTTTATTAAAAGAATATATTTTTATTTTATAAAAGAGAATTTTTTTTTATTATAAAAACTGAATATTATTATTATTTGTTAAAACAGAATATTATCATTTTTAAAAAAATGAATTATTATTATTTTTTTTAAAAACAGAATATTATTATATTAATATTTATAAAAACATAATAGTTTTATTATTTTATTAAACAGAATATTATTATTATTAATTAAAAACATAATTAAACTTTATTATTAAAAATATATTTTATAAATTTATATTATGTAGTAGCATATTGTAGTAACATAGTTAATGATATTATGCTAAATATAATTAATACATAAAAATATATTGTAGTAAACATAAATATTGTATTTACATTTTGTTTTTATTTTTTAATATATTATTATTATATGATAGTTATAAAATATTTTTAAAATAGTAATGTAACATAATTTTATAATAGCATGATTATTTTGTAAATAGTATGTTACACTATAATTTTAAAATGAAATGTAATTTATAGTAACATATTTATATTATTTACTATGTTTTTAACATAGAATTATATATACACTAGTTATTTATATAATTGATCAAATTTTTTGAATTTGTCAATTGATTAAAACATTTTTGTGATTATAATGGGTACCGTATTGTAGTAAACGTTCAGTATGAAATATTATAAGTACTATCGTAGTTGGGTGTACGATTGTATGTATGCTAAAAGACGTGGACTTAAACCATATTTTGAGGAAGGAGTTAAAGCGTTTATTACATGGACATTTGATCAAGAATGTTGTCAAAGAGAGGGAGAAGTAAGTTGTTCGTGTCTTAAATGTGGATGTAGACGTATAATAAGTAATCCGGAAAAGTAGAAAATTATTTGAAGAGTGTGAGATATTGAATCAAACTCTATTAGGTCAAAGAGTAGCTTCTGATTTGACAGGATTTATGCATGTCATCGAAGTATGCTCACATGCTGGTTTCGAAGACCTACATACTATAGTCGAAGTGTGTTCTAGTATGTGGGTGTTGAAATGCTAGGGTTGTTAGAATACATGCTCACTTCAAAAAAACTCTCCTGTATGGAAGGGAATCCTTGACCTTTGAAGAAGTTCAATTAGCCTTGTATTCTAAGGACTTGAACGAACGAAAGGAGCATAAACCTTCGACGGTTGGTGAAGGTTTGGCTATTAAGGGAAAATTCTTACGAAAGGATCGTAAGTTCCACAAGAAGAAAGGAAAAATTCAGCATAAGTCTTACAGTGGCGAAGCATCTGATATTCGATGCTATCATTGTAAGAAGAGGGGTCACACAAGAAAGGTGTGCCCTGAATTCCTGAAAGATCATGGAGGTAAGGATAATGGAAACGCAACCATTGTTCAAGATTATTTTGACTCGTTTTATGTCCATGTGGTTTGAAGCAGCGACTTAAGAAAAGAGTGGATTATAGATTCAGGTTGCACTTGGCACATGACTCCAAACAAAGACTTGTCCGAGGAATTATGTGATCAAGATGGTGGGTTTGTATTACTGGGAAACAACAAGCTTGAAAGATTGCGGGTGTTGGATCTGTGAGATTCATGCTCCATGATAAGTCAATAAAGTTGTTTACTGAAGTCAGGTATATACCTGATTTGAAGAGAAATTTAATTTCTCTTGGTGAACTCGACAAGAAAGGATATTTTTCCAAGGAGAGAAAAGTATCATGAGAGTCATAAAGGGGTCAATTGAAGTCTTAAGAGGCGTGAAGAAACAAGACTTGTATACCCTTGAGGCTGAAGTTGTAAGTGGCTCGATAAATGTTGCATCCATGAAACCTTTTTCGAAGACAGAAATTTGACACATGAGATTGGGCCATGTGCGTAAAAGGGGTCTGGTTGAATTGGGGAAACAAAATATGCTTGTTGGAGACAAAGTCGAAAAGATGAAGTTTTGTGAACCATGTGTACTTAGAAAATCTTGTAGAGTGAAGTTCAACAAAGGCAAACAAAGAACACATGGATCTCTTGATTATATCCATGATGACCTTTGGGGGCCTGCAAGGTGCCCATCACATTCAGGAGAAAAGTATTTTCTATCTATAGTAGATGATTATTCCAAAACGTTATGGGTATTCATCCTGAAGACTAAGGATGAAACTTTTGAGAATTTCAAAAGTTGGAAGACTCTGGTTGAAAATAAGACTGGAAGAAAGGTCGAGAGATTCATAATCGATAATGGCCATGGATTTTGCAATGAGGAATTCGACAGTTTTTGTGCTGCCTCTAGTACAAAGCTATAGCAGGAACTCCACAACAAAACAGTTTGGCTGAAAGGTTTAATCGAACTATTTTGGAAAGAGTTAGATTCATATTGAATAGTGTTGGGTTAAAAAAGGTGTTTTGGTCTGAGGTTGTTTCAACAACAACATATTTGATAAACATATGTCCTTCGAAAACGTTAGATATGAAGACACTTGAAGAAGTTTGGTCAAGACATCCACCAGATCTCGATAAACTGAGATTATTTGGCTGCATAGCCTATGCTCACATTAGACAAGACAAGGTCGAACCTAGAGCTCTGAAATTCATGTTCACTGGATACCCTGAAGGAGTCAAAGCTTATAGGTTATGGTGCCTAGAGCCAGGTCACAAAAGGTGTATCACCAATCGAGATGTAGTTGTCAATGAAGCTGGCATGGCATTCAAGAAAACAAATGACGTTGGTTAAAGTGCAGAAATATATA